GTGGCATGCATTATTATCATGTATCAGGGAAGATCCTATCCTATATCTTAGGTTATAAAGGGGATATTCCATCATCCCCACATTTCTATATTCATCGTGGGTCCCGGTAGAGGACAATGTAATAATATATATAAGACGCCTTTATTGGCACCGAGGCTTGGGCTTTGAACAAGAACACGTTTTAATCACGACCAGATGTCAACTACTGATGACAGCTTTTGTACCCACATTATTATTATTATATGGTACAACGAATGTTAATTGGTTCAGCTGGGAGTATTGCGATTCCAAATAAATCAAATAACATTAAAGTATTTATTTTTTTTTGCTGGTGGTGGACCAATCGTACGGGCTGGGGAGCTATATATAAAACGCCATGATTGTGACACGTGCCTCGGTTTCCCAACCATAATTAACTTCACAAGATTGATGGCGCCTTGAATAATTTACATAGTGTCACTCAAAACAGCACATGAACCTATGCAATTTTGATAAATAACTGGATTTAATGCATATCTACTCTCCATCGGCTGTAAGTTCGAATATTACACGTATTAAAGGCACATAGGTTTCTTAGACACGACTATCCTTACTGTATGAGCAATGTCCACGATCTAGCGACGATCCTCAACAATGACCCGCCAATCTCCAGGGTTACCTTTTTTTTTTTTTGTTACCTTTTTACCTAAGGGATATGGGGCATGTGCAAACGAGCATAGTTGTTTTAACAAGCTATAATCCAATTGATATAGATTATACTAATTTTTAAAACTTACTTAAAGCCCAAGTCCATCCAGTAATGGAGTGTCCATGATCATCAAACCATTTTTTAGGTCAAAATCCAATATGAATATTTAGGTCTTTTTGTGCACGGGATCTCTCGAACCGTCTCAAACTGCACCTATTTTGAAAATTCAGCCTTTTCTATTCATGTTTTCCTTTTATTTTAGGATTTATGATATTTCTGTTTGGCCCCTGTTTACCCATATTTAATAAACCTTCTATTTGGATGAGAATGTTCGGAATTGATCCAAATTGTTGATGTTCTAAACAGAAAGAAAGAAAAAGAATATGTTACTCCAAACTACTAACAAATAAATGCTCACGAAGGTAGGTTCAAGTAATAAAGAGAGGAGTTATTCAACTTGAAGTTTTATGTTCTATTTATGTCATTGTTTTATTAAAAATGATTTTTTTTTGTTTGATTAGTTCCATTCATAAAATTATATATTTTAAGCTTTAATTCTGACGTGAATAAGATCAGTACAATGAGACCTGCTTAAATAGTGTATAAATATGAAAGACATGATATCTACTTGTGAATATATATATATATATATTCGACCACATTTTCATGGTGCGAGGGGTTTATTTTAAAGCTTGTCCTGGGACATGGTGGGATGAATTAAGTGACATTCATGAGCAGCGATGACAGTTCATGTGTCTATTCACAGCCATAATCCTCTTTTCAAAAAACATGATTTTAGCCCATTTATTATAAAATAAAATTGATTCCAGGCATTAGGAGATCGAGTCCTGACATATTGATCCAGCCATCCTGGGCTCTGGGAAGTTCAAACTTCCTCAATTAAATTCTTAAATCTCATCTGGTAGTCATATTCTCAAATCTCGCTGTATACATAAAGCTCCTTTAAAGCCTATCTAAATCAACTGTTCCTATCCATTGTCGTTTGTAACTTAGTTTGTGTAATTGCTGCGATATCAGAAATGACCAAAGTATCTTTTTCTTTGTCGAGATAATGTATGCCATTGACCCTTTTCTTAAGGTTAAAAAATAAAATAAAACTGATATGATTGCAAAAGGACTTCCACTATCATTTCTTCCCGCTTTGTATTTCGATATATGCAACAATCTGTACGCCAAGATCAAGATAAATCAAGGACCTAAAAGGTTACAGGAAAACAAGTAGATCTAATCTGATGTTTTAATTTCTTTCCAATATATTTTGGCAAATGCTACGATTCTTGTTTGGTTGAATTTGGGATTCGTATCTCTATCTACCCATCTTTCTCAGTTATTTACAAGGTAAACACTTAATGCGCGGTTTAATTTGGTCACTGGTGAAGGGAAAAGAATTGATCGCGTACAAATTTGTCCATACGAATACACAGTTTTATACATGCAATTCTATATATAATGCACGCACAATGGGTTTATATAAGTTAAGAGTTAGGACCACAACCTTCGAAGGACCTAGAGTTGTTAGGAGTTAGGACCACAACCTTCGAAGGACCTGCACGTCGATAAATAAAGACATGATGATATAGAGAAACCTGCCAAATTAGGGTTTGATGAAAAAAAGCATAAAGAGAGAACACTTTTTGGCACTATTTTCTAAGATAAGCTTGTAAATTATTCTGGACAAAAATAGTATACCATGTGAAAGAACAGTGAAATTAAAGTAGAACCGTATCTTTCTTTCTAAAAGGAGGGTATTATCTTCGTTAACTTCGTAGTTGAAAACCCAAGAAGCTGACCTCTCTTTGCCCCAGGAAAAAAAAAAGGGGTGGACCACGAATCATCACGATGACAGTGAAAAAAAGTTTAATTTAGAACTTATATTTCAGGTTAATTTGACAACGAACAGATATGCATATTCGTGAAATTAAATTTAAGAAAAATTATTCTGAAAAAAAAACAAGAGAAAGAAAGAAAAAGAAGATCTTTCTCAAGAACTCCAAATGATACTTCTGTGTGAAACAAATTTGAGATAATAAGGCTTCGAAATTATTGTACTTCTTTAAAGCCTAATCCAACTACCATCACTAATGATCGTGCGAGAGTCGTTTTTATTATAATTGGATTTCTTGACATTTCACCAAAATGTAGAGGCAAGCGATCGGGCTAGGTAATTCTGGCAACATCATGACAGGTGCAATGTGGTGCAAATTTCGTGTTTCTTCTTCTAAATTTTGCTTTGCCAACATCACCTTGCTTTTACCCTCCTCTTTACATTAGTCTCATTACATCTTCAAATTACTCTAATTCACACAATGCATGTCCAGATTCTTCTTCTTTTTTTTTTGAAAAAAGAGTTATTTCAAGTCTATTTTTGAGAATATATACGAAGCCAATCTATCTGGGTTCCTTTTATGAGTGTATGGCTATCAAAAAGAAAAAAAAAAAAAGAGGAAGGAAGATTGACCAAGTTTAGGTAAACTAAACTCACTATCATTAAACTTAACAAAACCTTGGTGGTCTTTCTCCGTAAATAAAAGAAGGCATTGCCCTAAATGTTATAGTTTGGTTTTTTCTATATAATATTGTGAAACTGTGCGCATAGTAGAATATGAACCAAATTACCATTTACCACGTAGAGTCATATAGAAAGCAAGGAAAATCTTTCATTGTGCAATTTTTTTTGTTTTTTTTTGTTTTAATGGGGTATAGGAATAGTCGAAGAAAGTAAGTCCTGTTGTGGATACAAGAACAAGGGTAAAGGAAAAGGAAAAAAGAAGTTTGTATAATGAGTAGCATTGGAAGAGGGGAAGATTCTTGTATAAAGAGAGGGTGTCGTCCTCTACTAATCATTATATTTCTTCTTTCCTTTAACCCAAAATTGAGTGGAGTGAAGCATACCATGCTAATGAAAAAAGCTCTAGAGGAGAGAGCTTAGTTGGTGAGCGGTCAGCATTGGTATGCCTTGCCGACAAGAATTTCTGTCTCTCCACTTAATGAGTTATTACAAGACCCTAAAGTGGAAAAATAATACCATACTCATCAATCCACACTACTTTTATACTCTCTTCATTCGCTTACCAGAAAGTGAAAACCTCACTTCATTTTTCACCTTTCTACTGTATGTTTTTGGAGGTGGGTGGGTGAATCCCATGCTCATCAAGTGAAAGATAGAGAGAGGTACAGGGTGCTTTGAAGAATATGTTGACATAAGTGGATAGTTTCCTTGTAAAGTCAATACAGTGGTTACCATGAAAAGTTGCAAGGTGGTAAAATAATTACATTCCATAATTGGGAGACCGCTTTAGTTGTAGTAAAAATTGGTGAAACAGCACTCTTGTTCTATTCCATGTCTTCGTTTCATTTCTCAAGTTTTGGCTCAAAGTTTCAAATCACCTCTCCTAGTTTTATCCTGATGAGTAAATTTATGAAAGCATGCCTTTGAATGGACATTCAAGTTGAGCAATTATCATAGAAAGTTTAATGTCCTGTGCCCTTGCCATGATGTGGTAAAAGTCACATTTTCTGCTGTTAATTTAGACATGAAACTTGAATATGAAACTTGAAACCATGCCTTAGAAAAGGATGAAGACATGAACGTGTAACAGGTAGAGAAATTTTACCAGCAAGCATTACAGATCTTTGAGGGCTAACTACAGGATTCATGTTCACTCCTCAAACTATTTATAAGACACTAACTTCCATCCCAGGCCAGCACAAACACAGAATGTGGAGTCTTTTGACAGAGCCGAGGTTCATACCGTTCCACCGATATCAAGCACTGATGTTCCAGTGCGTTTAGCATGAATAATTATGGTAGATAAAGGCCGCCTATATGTGATAGCATCCCAGACAAACAGGATGACATCTTATCCCTTTTCTATTAGCAGACATAAAATTAACAAATGTACAAAGCATCTATAATCTGTTTTATATTCAGGAACATACACATGGGAAAAAATATTTAGAAGCAACAACAATTCGATACCAATCAGCATGTAATTCTAAACATATCATCGGTGAATTGCATAATGAAACTAAGGATGATTGAATCTACTGCTTCCTGTCAAACTATATTTTTCCAACTTGATCGGCTAAAGATACGGGACCAATAAAATTAGTAGTTTGAATTTGTTGAAGAATCGCTCTCAAGCATCTCTTGCAGTGCTTCATGCCGACAGTCTTCATTTGTTTTGGGTCCTCTAAACACCTTTTAAAAGATAAGAGTTACCTGAAAGATGATTTGATGGGAAAAACCCTAATCTCTCTCCCTCCCTCCCCCGCGATGGGAAAACCCCCCCCCCCAATGACAACCAAAGATGGGAAGAAGACTTCCACTTCTTTCATGGTGGGACTCCACCTTCCCAAAGACACAAAACCAGGAGATAACAGTTAGAAGTGCTTTTCTAGCTAGAAAGGTGTTCTTTCAGGTCCTTCCGAGGTTGTTGATGCACGTAGAGGTACTTGGCTCGCCATTCACCAAACCAGCTTGTTGAAGCAACCTCTAGTTACAAACAGACCTTTCACTTCCAAAAATTTCAAGTGAAGTCTTTGGATTCTTCTGGCGGAATTCCACCTTTAATCATTGTCCATGGCATTGTACTAACCTCCAACATCTTATGGTGGTTTCTCCAGTTCAACAATATCCTTGTCGAGCTCTTCTGCCACCACAAAGACTAATTTAGCATATAATATCTTCAGGTTCAATTAATAACGGCTATCACTCAGGTCAAAGTTCCTGACAAGTGGAAAATCATCATCTTCCCAGATTAGATCGTTACAATCACAAGCCCAAGTAAGAGACTAGCATATTAGTTCAAGTTGCATCATAATCAAGCCTAATTATATGCATCATAAAAATATATTAAATAAGGAGCAGAACCAGCCTAAGAATCCCCAGAGAAATGATATTGTAGTTTGTATGCGATTCAACATTGAACGAAGCAAGCAGCTCGAGTAGAGGTGATGAAGGAACCTCTAATCAAGGCATGTGAATGTGCTCATATGGGCAGGAACTTTACCTAATTTTGGAACATAACATGGAAAATATGTGGCAAGGTTCAACAGAAGATCTGTTTTCATAGAGAAAAGCAAAACTAGAATCCCATTCTCCGGAACCTATTTGGGCACATGAAGGACCACAAAGAACATGAGAAGTTTTCAAGCAGACCCTATAATCATTATATCGAACATGCAAAATAATGAAATTCAAGAAGGAAACAATGATTATACAAGGCAGTCAATCATGCTTGTTGATCAAGGAATTATAAGATCATCAAACAAGAAATGAGGGATCCACATTGCAATGAATAGGATAACAAGCGCTAAACTCCACAATTGCATCAACTTCAAAAGCTCAGTTGGACTTTTGGGCGAATTAAAAAAGAACAGTGACAAACTTTTTTTAAAAAAAAAAAAAAAAAAAAAAACCCAAACAAACAACCTCATTCATGGCATAATGGTGAAGAATATAACCATTGAGGTTTAATCACATAAAAAAAAGCATTTATTAAATGGAGTCATGCGCATCGTGCTCAGAAAATCATCAGCTAAGCAACCCAGATATGGCTTCACCCATGCTTAAATGAGAGTATCTAAAACGTTATGTTCAGAGGATTGGTATCCATTACTCTAGTTTAAACTCAATCTTAGAAAGTAGGGAGACTACTTGAAGAACAAAATTTTTGAACACTGTCCCCATTCTGAAAAATCTGTTATCAAGAAATAGCTACCTTTACAAACAAGAACATTTTTCCTTTTCTTTTCTTTTCCTTTTTTTCACAAACTCAAAACCTCGAAAAATCATTCTAGAAAGAAACATGGGACCTTGCTCAAATCATGTGGCTATGCATTACTAGGCATACGGCAACAGAATCCCTATGCCCCAAAATCTTCTAAAGAGTAAGTAAAGAAATACAAAAGGAAATATAAAGCGGAAAGAATCCAAATAAATCCTACAATTTTAAAATTCAAAAGTAGTGGAAAAAATGTTACACTGAGGATGCATCAACGAGAACCTCGTTTAGCACATCATCCTCACCGTTTGCCAATGCAAAGAGATCTGCATCCTTATCTTCGTCGCTCAAAAACTCCCTCCTATCTAGCTTTGAGTGAGCAGCGATAAATATCAACTTTTGCAACTTGTCCATGCCTGCCCTTGATTGCCCATGGGCATACACCCATCTCAGCCAAGACCAATTGCATTTGAACCCACATGAAGTGGCATGAAGAAAAATAAGCCTAACTGCGACTTTGCCCAGTGACTTGAACTCGGTAAGATAAGTCTCCCAGACAAGCCTACTGCTCTGGGGATTTACTATTCTCATCTTTCCTGTGATGGGATCCCTCTCCCTCATCTGGACAGCCTTTGCATACACAGGATCAAGCCCTTCTGTTCTCCATTTCATGAGTTCCATTAGTACAATATGAGCCTCCTCCCTTGAAACAAGCCTGGTTATAAGCTTGTCCACATCCTTTTCCTGCTCCGAGGTCAAGCATTTGAAAGGAGGAAGGTATTTGCCACTGTTGTCCCTCCGCAAATAAAGTGGATCGAGTATGTATGCAGCAGCCCAAGCAGGATGATAATTCTTCTTGAACCTTGTTTCAATCACTTTCTCCACTGCTCCTTCAGCAATGTGGAACTTTGAACACCAGGACTTCACTTTTGCCCTAAGTTCATCCCATAGCGGCAGACATTGCCCGACTAATGGCCTCTCTGCCTCAATCTCTTGAGCCATTTCCTTTATCAACTTAACTAGCGAATGCACCGCATCCATATCATTCCAAAATCTCACATCTCCAATCATCTCAGCAACTTCTCTTGCAGTAGGATCCTCCATGGATACTATCTTATACGATTCATCATGCAAAACCAACTGCAATGCTCGAGCTGAGCTCAATACGTCCTCTAGCATTGTATACACAGGTCCAAAATCCATCTTCTCATAATCCCGCAAGGGCATTCTCAATAATCCTGCATTCCCATACTCCTGCAATTGATATTTATGGAAACTATTTCGAATTGGGGTCTTATTATTGACAAAACTAGCAAGCTTGAAGCAATTCTCGCTCACAGTCCTGAACAGTGGAAGCTCTTTACTAAAATCCTTAATCAAACTAGTGAAACCTTGCAACTGACAAGAAAGATTGACCATCCAATGATTCTGGTTCTCTAAACTCCTCAATGCCTTGGCCTTAAACCTGTCTGCAACTATCCCTACACACTGTTGCACAAGACTCCCACAAATGCCTGTTATGGTCTCCCAAAAAACCTCCTCTGCATACTTGGAAGGCACTGAACCACTAGCAAACACAGCTCTCCTATACAAACTAGTTCCATTAGGCAAATTCACTGTCAAATTCACTAAATTCACATCACCAGGGCTCCCATTACTCTTCACCTTCCACCCATCCGATGCAATCTGAAAAAACATAGCATCTCTAATCCTTGCCTCAGACTCGGCCCTAGCTTCCTCGTACTTAACATCCAATCTCCCACCAACAAAATCCCTCCTTGAAACCACAGGCAAACCAACTTGATTCAGAAAAGCCCTGAACTTTGGATGCTCTAAACTCGAAAAGGACACAGACCCACAAGACTCATAAACCCAATCAGCTAAATAATCAAGTGCACAGTCAATCTGGGTCTTGCTCAGAGCCTGTCCTGGAGAAGTTTTAGGACTCTTCAACTTCTTTACACTATCTTCCAACATAGCTAAAGCACCCAAATCCTCTTTCCCACCAGACAACATCAAATGTGGCTGTTGGGGCAGCATAGCCATCTCACCTGAGAATCTTGATGGATCCACAATAGCAAGAGGACTTACTTGGTACGTACTACCAACGGCTGTCACTGGATACGCTGATGATGCAACTCCAACAGAACCAGAAAGCCCTGAACTTGAAACGACAGGTCGTTTCCTATTACTGCTACCATGCACTACTGTGATAGCACCACCACCACCGCTTGAAGAAGGAGAAGGCAGCAAGGCAGTGTTTGGAGAGATTGAAGAAACGGGTTTCGGTACAGAGTTAAAATTAGGACAGGTACCACGTTTCAGATGCTCAGAGGCAGTTCGTGAAGGATTTGAAGCGGAGAAAACGGCGTCGCATAATGAACACCGTAGCTTCACAGCTTTAGGAAGGCCAGTGTCGGTGTTGTGGACCAACATAGGTTCTAAATGAGCCCAGTACCACGCGCCTTTTCCTTTTATTGCTTTGGTCCTTACCATCATTAGACCTTCATATCTCTTGTGTGCTGCCTTTGCTGTTAGCTCCTCTGCCGTGGCTGTGTCTACTTGTTGGTGTTGTGGTGGTGGTGGTGTAGTTGTTGTGTTACTTGTTGCCATTATGTAATATTCTATGTATAGTAGTTCAGCAAAAAAAAGGTCAAAGTTTGAAACTTTACGGGAGATTCAAGACTGTCATTCAGCTTGGAAAGGCTGCCGGAGTTGTTGTCGCCGGATTTTCGTTTTCCGGCGAGTGTCCATGTCAAAGTTTTGGTCTCTTTTCTTATTGTTTTCAATATGGGGATTGGCTTAGTTTGGTCTTTCTCGACGGGCCTGTTTTCTTAGAGGGAGAGGGGGACAGGGAGGGAGGAAGAAAGAGAGGTGATGGGGTAAGAGAGAAATAAGGGAGGCATGAGCGACTGAGAGAGGAGTTTCAATGGTGGCATAGGGAGCGTGGTACAACGCGCAGGTTCATTTGCGAGTGGGGGAAACAGGAGAGAGCCATGTTGATGGGAACTAGCTTTGACACTTGAAGAAGCACTCTAACGCCAAGGTCCGACGTACGAAAACACCACTGCATTGGCTGTCACTTCCTGTTGATTGGAGATGGAAGCTCACGCGCATTGAAAACAAAGGTTCTAGTTTTGGCATCCTTTTCATGTTTCTTGCTTCCTTTTCTTTTTTGTATTGTGGGTCTGGTAGGGAAGGGAGTCTTCTTGTCTGTTTCTCCCTTTTCTCCCT